TAGGCAGGAAATAAAAAAACATATTGCAATGGGAAAGTCTGTGGTTAGGGACCTCTCTAAAGTACTCAAGAGCAACGGTGTCTCTCTGGAGGCTAAGGTCTGCCTGATACAGGCCATGGTTTTTGCAATCACTTGTTATGCATCAGAAAGATTTATAATATGTAAGATAATTGGCTTGTCTGTCAAATATAGCTCTGAAGCTGAGCACACAAATTAAGACAGATTAAGGAGAATGATAGGCCATTCACCTCTGGAATAACAGGCCTTCAAAAACTTTATAAACAAGAGGGTGCACTTAGGTTAGACTAGTAGATATGGCACCTGGGGCTGAGCCTTCGTGTTGGGAATCACAAAGGAGGAGGAACAGTTGCAAACAGACCACAGTGATTGGGAGGTAGAATGTGAGAAGTATGAATATAGAAAAGTTGGAGATTATTAAGCAAGAAATGGAACACATAAATATTGACATATTAGGCATTGGTGAAATGAAATAAATTTTGAATCAGACAATTATGTGATCTACTATGCCAAAAATGAAAAGGAGAGAAAAACGGGGTCACATTCAAAGTAAAAAAGACCATTTCTAGATCTATCTTGAAAGACAATGTTGTGAGTGACAGGATAATAGCCATACTTATACAAGGAACTACCTCTTTGGGTGTTGACACAACCTTTCTTTCCGAAACTGAAAAGGACCTGATACAGTCTTCAGTATGGATTGAGACTCGATATCAAGAAAACAAAGATTCTCACCACTGGGCCAATTGGCAGCATAATAATGGATGGTGAAGAGATTGAGATTGTTCACAGTTTTGGTTTGCTTGGCTCCACAGTCAATGCTCTTGGCACCAGCAGCCAGGAAATTAAAAGACCTATTGACACAACCCTGCTCGCTGAAACTGAGGAGGATCTCATGCACTTACCTGCAGAGGGTCAAGGACTGTAGCCTTCAATATGGACTGAGGCTCAATGTCCAGAAGACAAAAATTCTCACCACTGGACCAATTGGTAGCATCAGGATGGATGGTGAAGAGATTGAGATTGTTCACAGCTTCAGTTTGCTCGGCTTCACTGTCAAC